GACGTACTCTCTCTCTCTCTCTCTCTCTCTCTCTCTCAAGTATTTATACCATCTGCAAGTTTCTTAAAATCAACCATATCACTCATGATTAGTAAAATTCTAATCATAATTATACCAATACCATGATGAGAATGCCCTAAAAGTAAGTCTGCTCATAGTGTCATCAATAAATATTCCAAAAGAAAGACTGCCCATGAAAGTTCTCAAGATTATACCACAACAACAAAAAAGAAATATTGAACAAGAAATATATGCAACTTAAAAGAGAAGAAGGGAAACATACCATCCAATAAGTCACCAATTAAAATAGACAATGCCTTAGTTAAATATTGATCTATAAGGAAGTTGTCATTGTTAATACTGACAATCTCTGTTTCTGGCATGTCAGCTTTTCTTGCAGCCTTTGTCAAATAATAGAAAAGAACAGAAAAATTAATCTTTCATCAGCATAAAAATAAAGAAATCTTAGATGCATGTATGCATGCAACAATTATATAGAGTTATTACAAGAAGAGCAGACCATATCATACATAAATATAAACAAAAATTGAGCACAGCAGTTTTATCAAAGAAAAAAAATGGATTTGTATGCTAGTAAATATGGTTTGTTGAAAAAATCGGCATCTAGAAGTTCAACAGAATTAAATATTGCCTACATTCCTGTCAATGTAAGTTCTCTCTTTTGTTGGGTTGGAGACCAGCTAGCTGATTCATGCAGAATGTCATATACCAGGAATCAGGCAATAACAATGTATTGGATATGCATAAATCCTTGATAACAACTAAGCTGATAGACCTAGGAATTGTTACCTGCTCTTAAGCTAAAACAAGAAGATCGAAGTTCAAAAACCATTTTCTATCCTTTATGAACAAGAAGGTGCAATTTCTAGTTATTCTCTACGAGTGATATCTAAAGGCGCTCAGGCGTGCCAAGGCTCGAGTGCCTCAAATAGGGGTTGGGCGAGCACCTTCAATTTGGTGCCGCTTAAGCACATGCCTAGGCCCAGACGCTAGGCGGCCCAAGCGCTCACCTAGCCCAATTTGAAACCTAATTGAAATAAACTTGGCTTGAGTTGAACCGAAATGTTACAAATGGTTCAACCAAGCCAAGTCCAACCACCCAACCTGTGTCGCAGGTCCGTTGGAGGAAGAAACCTATTCTCATTCTCGTGATCACTCGCTTTTCCTTGTCGTCATCGTCTCCCCTTCACCCGCGGCCATAGCTCCTCACCACCACCTTATCTTCAATAATGATTTCGTCGCTCCTCCCTAAGGTCAAAGCACCTCGCCATCACTTCTCCCCACTACCATAGCTCCTTACCATCGCTCCTCGCATCCATGCGTAGCCCTCGAGCATTGGCGATACCTCCTCCTCTTCCTTTCTCTCTCTCCCTCTTGGTGTTGTGCCTCACACCTCTCTTTCTTGTTTGCTGTCACTCTCCATCTTCCCCCCGCCCGCTATCTCTCTCCTTCCTTCGTTGCTGCTGTCATCCTCATTAAGTCTCCTCGACACCCCTTGCCTCCTCCGTCCTTCTCTCGCTTCCCACCCCTCCTTCCCTCCTGCTACCTATCTCCCTCCTTCGTAACTGCCCCGTCGACCCTCCTTGATATACCCCCCCCCCCAAACCCCGGCCGCTCCTTCTCCTTTCCTCTTGTTGTCTCTCCTCCACCATCACCCCTATTAAGTGCCCCCGACAATCCCCTCCCTCTTCCCTCCTCCTTCGAGCTTCTCCCCTTCCCCGTTATGCTTTTTTTTCACGGTCATTCTCCCTTGTTCTCATCATCCTCTTACGTCATTGCCCCTAGCCTTCCTAACAACCTCCCTCCTTCGTGCTTCTCCCCTCTAATAGTCCTTTGCTACAATTAGCCATGGCTGACATCCTCACCCCCTCTCTGCATCTCCCTAGCAAAGCCGGCGAGCCTTCTTTTTCTCTAATTTTTCCTCAACTTCTTTCTTTCCCCAACAGTCCTGATCACTCTTGAATTCAATAGTAATGTTAATTATAGCCCACGGATTGTTTAAAGCATGGTATGCAATACCTAATGGTACCGCCCGGTACGGGCGGTACATACCGGTCTGACGACATACCGATACGCAGACTGCCCGGTACCGCTACAGTGCTACAGTATTATACTGTAACAGTGCTACAGTGCTACAGTACGAAGAAAATATATAAAATTATTTGGTACGCCCTGGTGTACCGCTACCGAGCCAACCTCGAAACACCGGTACGGTATGGTATTGCATACCTTGGTTTAAAGGATTAAATTTGTCATTCCTAGTATTTTGAAGTATCACTATAGTTAACATCTTGAATCATGGCAAATAAAGTTTTAAGTTTGTTATTTGATTTGAATAATATAGTATTTTAGTGCTTTATGGATGGTTAAATGAATTTATTGGGATGTATTAGTGGTGATGTTTTGAATATGAAATAATATAAAACTCATATATTATCTAATTTTAATTTTAATGATTGTTTTTCTCCTTAATTATATTTTTTATAATTTTTATATTGGTGAGTGCCTTGCTTTACTCAAGCGAGTCGGGCACTTTGAAAGCTTGGCGCCTTCTAGTGCCTAGCGCCTTTGACACCACTGGTCTCTATATCATGGAAATATATACAGTTCATGAAGTTTTAAAGGTATGGCCTATAACATCAAACAAATAACCCTCGTCAAACTTCCAGAATAGGACCAGCAAATATTTGGTTAAAAGTGACCATATTCTAGCACCACAAAGTCACTTAAACATAGTAAAGATACCATCATAGATATGCTTACATAGCTTACATGCAACAGAAACTGATAGATTAAGCAAAGGGATGATGAGTTTCCTAGATATTCCACAATGCTTCCTAGATAATATGCATCCTGAACCATGCCCATGCCTTTTTTAGCAATTTCATCGTTGGTATTACCAAGCCAAGAAAAGAAATCTCATAGCAACGAAGGGTTCCCAAATTACATAATGATGTTCTGGCATAAAACCAACATTTGCCTTCACTTCCTTTAATTTAGCATCAAATTCTGCCTACATACTTTCAAAAGGTCAATCTAGAACTGATTTTCAAAATTTGGTCTTTAGCTTGAACAATAACTACATAAAAACACTACACTTTTTACCCTTTTTATTAAGAATCATCTCTACGGCTATGTTAACTTGCTGATCTGTCACCAAGATAACAGCAAAGCCATTATGTCCCAACTATTTGGGTCGACTACAAGATCTTTTTCTGCCATTGAACCTTTTAAAATATCATATCCTTAGTTAAAATTAAGAATATTTAAATATTTATTTATACTTTCTATGTAGTCTTTTTAGCTTTCCTTCTATCTCTCCTCTCGTACCATTAATAATGATTGTTTTACCTCTTCCAGTTACAACATATAAAGATCTTCTTAACAAGATTTATAATACCACCTGGTATAGTACGATTCAATCTGTATTTACCTGTCCTGATACACAAACCAAGATAAACCAAATAGTATGCTCAATATGTTTAGTAGAGGACTTATACGAGCATCGGACAGTTGTTTTTCTTTTTTAATTTCTTCAGATTTTTCTGAAACTCGGTACCAATGTTCCAACACTAGGAATGAATCTAGGAACAACAATGTGGACTCAAATGGTACCGGTCCAAATCCTTATCGACAAACTACCAAGTGAAATCAACAAGCACTCTGACGCTCACCTAGGCGCCCAGGCGAGATGAGGCCCGAGTGCCTCAAATAAGAGTCGGGCAAGCACCCTCAACTGGACGCTGCTTAGGTGTGTGCTTGGGCACAAGTGTTGGGCGGCCCAAGCACTTGCCTAGCCCAAATCAGCTTTAAACAAGCTTGAGTTAAACCCGAAATAACTGATTCGGTTCAACCAAACCAGATAATCCAGCTCACTAATCCCCCGTCCCCAGCCCCCCTATATTCGTGTGTGACCTACTCCTCTTGCTTTAACATAATTGTCGTGTTGTCTTCGTCTGTGTACAAGGCAACCGAATCAGCTCTTTCGAGCGAGTGTGCAAGCTGACGACTAATGTTTGTGTGCGAGCCGGCAATGCCTCCCCTCGCGAACGAAGGTATCTTCTCCTCTTTCTACTCTTTCCCTCTCCCTCTTTCCATTCCTCTCCACCTTCCATCAGTGCTAATCCTCGTGCTCCTGTTGCGCTGTCCCAGCCACATCTCATGGTCGTACCTCCCTCTCGTCTCTCTCTCTCGTCATGTTGTTCCCTCCACCTCTTATGGTACCTCTCTCTCCCGATGATTCCCAACAACCCCGAAGGCCAATGCACGGTCCCCTTCCCCCTCCCTCTACTTCTCCCTAACAGTATCACCTCCCCTCTCCCTTCGCTCTCTCTCCGTTTGACCCCCCTTGTCTCTATCTCTCTCTCTCTCCCGACAACTCTCAACATCATCGACGACTGATGGTACCGCCTCCTCCGTCTCCCCCTCTCTCTCCTTTTCCTATTTATCTCTTTGCTTCTTCTCCTGCCCCTTCCCTTGCTCGTAGCCAGCGTTCCTCTCCCACCAATGCCTTCTCCTCTCCTACTTATTTCCCTCCCTGACAACCCCATTAATTATTGAATTTACCACTACTAGAATTTTAAATTATCATTGTTATAATTCTTGGACTTTTTGTGTTAATTTTCTTTTCTTTTGTTATTTTTGTTATTATATTTGGTAAATTTAATACTTTAATGCTTTATATATGTTAAATGAATTACCAATGTTCTAGTGGTGATAATTTGATTGTGCATTGATATAAAATTTATATTTTGTCTAATTTTTATATTAATCATTATTATTCTTAATTATAAGTAGGCCTTACGGCTTTGTTGTTATTGTTGTTGTCGTCGTCGTCTTTCTTTTTTATTATATTTTTCTATTGGCAAGTGTCCTGCATCGCTCAAGCGAGCACCTAAGCAAGCGCCTAGCACCTCGAGCGTTTTAGAGCCTTAACGCCTTTTAGCATCTGGCGCCTTTAACAATCCTAATACACAAAATGGCAAACCTTAGTACATAGCTCATATCATATCATATCATCTTAAATGATTTTATTTCTCATTTATCTGATATCGAAGCTACACCTAATTATTCATGAACGAAAACATCTCTTTATCTTATCTTCCCTGGTAACTCCACATCCCCTCAGTATTCTCATCTTAGCAACACAAAAAAATTGTATTTATTATTTCTTAACCACCCAAGACTAATTTCAATTTAAAAGGTACTCGATGATCATCGATCAAACACAAGACACCTAACAGTATTTTTCCCATGTTCATATGCATTCATAATAGTAAAAAATGTTCCAACATATTTTACTATTTTGTGTACATGAGCACACATATTTTTGAATATTTCGTGTCCATAGGCATTCATACTAGAAAACAGCCCATGAGCATTCCTAATAGTAAAAAGCAAGGTTCGCCGTACCGTACCGTACCGGCGTTTCGACCCGGGCTCGGTACCGGTACGGTACGGTATACCGCTCGGTACACCCAGGTGTACCGAGCGGTACACTCAGGTGTACCGAGCACTGTAGCAGTGCTACAGTACTCGGTACGGGCGGACCGGTACAGGGCGGTCCGCGTACCGCTAGCCTGTCGGACCGGTACGTACCGCCCATACCGGGCGGTACAGTTCGGTACGGCAAACCTTGGTAAAAAGTGTTCTTGAACATAATGCAAATAGAAAGTATCCTTCTTCCTAGTTTTATCAAATCAATATAGAAAAATATCCAGAAAAGATCCCCTGAGATGCTTACCAGTGATATTCACACCCACAAAAATATCAAAAAATTCCTATGTCGGGGTTGGTGAAATTAATCTCTTACAATTTGGATGGCTACTTTGTCAACCTAAGTAGTTCCATTTGATTGATTTAGTTCTATTGGTCAAATAAATCCTTGAATATTACAGGAATCAATCATTTGAGATGCAAGAGCAACTTGGAAGTCTCAGGATGAGGCATATAAAAGAGAACTCCAAACGAGAGAAATAGGAAGAGCATATAATAAGAACTTTGTATCAGTGATTTAAAAAGACGCTCGGACGCTCGCCTAGGCGCTTGGGCGAGGCAAGGCGAGGCCCGAGCGCCTCGCTTCACTTCCAGGCGGTGCGCTTCAAAGAGGCGCCGCCTGAGCGCTCGCCCGAGCCCAGGCGTTGGGCGCTTCGGGCGAGCGCCTAGGTTAAACCAGGCGACCGAACCAGGATTTTAGGTCTGGTTCGAGCTCCGATGGTTAGTTGGTTCAATCGAACCAACTAAAATCGATATCAACTGTCGCTGCCCAACCCTTAACCCTGCTCGTTGCCGCTCCCGCTGCCTCCTTACACTCCCGCTCCCGCTGCCGCTTCCTCTTTTCTCAGTTAGCACCCTCTTACACTCCTCTCCCTTCTTCTCCTTCTGTATACTATTAACAGTATACAATATACTGTTAACAGTATACTAATAATAGTATTTGTATTTATTAGATTAATAATATATTATTTTGATTTTAATACTATTAATTTTTATTTATTTGAAATTATTGTTAGGTTTAAGATAATTATATTTATTAATTATATTATATATTTTTATATTTTAGTGTCTCGCTTTGCTCGGGCGAGTGCTTAGCGCCTCAGCCGTTTTTGGACCTTAGCGCCTTTTGACGCCTAGCACTTTTTAAATCACTGTTCTGTATAATATAATGTAACGAAGTTCATTAAAAATAGGAGAGACAGAATACCAGTACCACTTCAAAGAAAAGAACTTCAGCAGGAGAAGTCGGTAAGAGTATAAATGGAAATATAATAAGAAAATAGTCAATGTATGATACTAGAACCATATAGTAAAACATAAATCCACTAAAAGCAAGACCTTAACATAATGAAGAAAGATTATAATAATGCTTTTAAGAAAAATATTTGCCATCTTAAAAAATGTTTTCTCAAAGAATAAATAAAGGTAGAAAGTAAAAAGCAACTAACAAAATTAAGCAGAAAAGTAACAAACAAACAGACTCACTCTTATAGCTCCAAAAAGTCCAATCTGCTCAAGACAGAAAATGATGTTATCATGCAACCTATGCAAAAGCTTTATCTGATTCTGACACTCTCTAAAATCACATAACTTGTCTTTAAGCATGGATATGCACTGCCAAAATCAGAAATATATATATACAAGTGAGTCCCAGTTGCATGTCATGAGAAAACAGATATTTAACAACTAACCTGGACTTTTATATCCTCAAGCTTTTTACTGTAAACGAAAGTGAGACTTGAAGCAGTGTAGAAAAGTGGACCATAGTAGTAGACCTTAATATCTGGAGAAGCAACAAAACCTTCAAGTTCCGATTCATCATCAACAGAGCACACCTATTTACCCAGGTAGTGACATCGACAACATTAGCACAATAAATCAGAAAATACTGGGAAAATGTATCCAAAGTCAAAATTTCATAACAATGAATTTTACCTTCGCATCAAGTAAATTCTCAAGACTGTTAATGCATTTGGTATAGTTTGATAGATCGGTTCCTCCTGTAAAACATATAAGTATCATAGAGAAAGCAAACAAAAACAAATCAAACATAACAAAAACAATCCTAATTGGCAGGTAATCAAGTATGAAATCAGCATTTATATTTCATAGAAATGATTGTTTGTATAAGAGACTTTTTGTCACAAATGCTCATGATCTTCAGGCAGTTGATCATGTGAAGCCTAGTAATTCACTATGTACTTCATTTTGACTTCGTTACCATTTTACTTGCTTTCTGGCTAAAAGGCTAGTCAAATTGTCCTCAGATTGGTATGGAGTGCGGCATAATATTAATAAAATGTATGTATTGGTCGGGGCATAAATCAAGATGCAGACAGCTCAATTCGCATATGTACCTTTTTTTTTAACCTCTGACTTACAGAAAGATACAGGAATTGTGGCAAGATCCTAACAAATCTTTCCCAGAATGTGACACCCCTAGTGCTTCTTGCCACCACAGACTGTCCCTGTCTCCTAGTACTCCTCTCCTCCTCTCCATCTCTCCCCCTAGGTACCATGGTATGTCAGCATATTCTGTATCAGTACACCGGTATGGACTGGCCTCATACCAGTCTGACTGTGGTCTAACATGAGTACAGTATCGAAACTGCAAATGTTGGCACGTATGTTCTATGGTGCCAAGTTCAAAACCAGACTATACTGGTTGGTGTACAAATCAGTTTTTACTGGTCTTAGAAGTGGTCAGTATGTGAACTAAACAATTTCATTAAGACTGGGTTAATCAAAATTTGCTCAGTATATATAGATGTAACATAAAATAAAAAAACCACCTTGTCATGAACTGTTCATAGGGAAGGTGTTCAGTGTAATATTTGTGTTTTTCCTTTTTTCATGCATTAGACAACATACAAGGGGCTTGCGGTAGTCTTGGCAGCCTCATTTTGTTGCCTTTTATGGCTATTCCTGGCTTGTAATTATAGCTTGCATGTGGTCAAACTCTAGGGTTTTTTTTTTTGCTTACATACACTCTATTCTTATCTAAATGTAATTTATATACTAATAAATTAGTAAGAAAAGACCCTCAAAAAGGGTTTTTTTTTATTTCTCCCATTTTTTCAAAAAACTAATATATTCTTTTCCTTAATCCGACGGATCCGCATGTAACAATAAAGATGGCATAACTTGACCAACCCCACATTGGAGTTAGTGATTGGCAAATCAAAACAACATTCACGAATCAAAGTTTGACTACTCAACAGCTAACATCAAGAGACCAGGTAAGGGTTAAAAGGTGTGATGCAACAAAACGAGTAATGAATATGTAACAAGCAAGGAGACGCATGACAATGGCATTGAAGGAATAAGTGAAGAAGAATATTATGGATTTTTTATAGCAAAAGTGTTCGTTGTAGCGTTTATGCTTTTCGATTATGTTCATGTCATAACATGTAAGGGGCTACAAGGCTTGATAACCTCATTTTAATTAGCTTTTGATTGTTTTTGGTTTGTAATTACAAGTTGTGTGCGATCATTGTATGAAGAAATAACTAGCCAAAATGAAGCCTCAATCACGCAACTTGCTCGAAGTGTCTGGGGCAGAGATGCGATGTGAAATGTCAACCATCTTAGACCTCTAGAACCTGGGCGGCACAAGCTAGATCGATCTCCGGGCTAATTTCTAAGGATGATCCATTAGTTGGTTCTGTAATACTGTCACATGGACACTTGTGCGTGAGGAATTGTACATCGAGAACTGCCTTGGATCCTTTGTTGCTCAATCGTTTAAAGCTTGCATAGTCTAACATTGTATTTTGTAGTACCTAGAAAGTGTTTGTTTTAATTTTTGCTTGCAAGATCCCAAGTTTATGCTTTGACAAATCGAAGATGATAGTTTGCTCGCATGTTCACTTGTTCACCAACCTATTTCTTTTCTTGCATGTCCTTAGGGGACCTTGTGAGGTTGTGGGGCCTCACCATTCACCATTCGCCCAACATTGTTCTGCTTCTCGTTTGACCCCAATCTCCTATTCTATGTTAGGATTCCAATGACTTGAAGGATGCGCTCAGGTACTCAGTGCTGATGCTATCGGAGCTATGGACCTCTTTGCTCTCCCCACACAAATTCTACGAGCTTTGAGAGTTGGGATATCTATTTGATCTTGCTTGTAGTGAATAATGCTTGTGTAGAAGCTGGATCTTAATGTGTTTCTTTTTTAGGGATTGGGAAGATATGCAGGTCTTTCAGCCATACTGTTGGTATGCCTCGGTACGTACCGTACCAAGTAAGGCTCGGTACACCGATATGGACCAAAATTGCGAACCTTGCTAAAAAGTATATTTATCAAAAATATACAGGAGCCTAGGTTTATATGCTAAGAGTAGTTACCTTTTCCAATGATAGGGGAAGCTGTCATGCCAAATACACGGGGACACTTTGAACCATCACCTTTAGTTTTGTAGAATTCCTATGGAATTGCCAACATAAATTTGAAAACCTTGTAAGTTACAATCACCTAAAGTAAATGCTAACACTAAATTTAAGTGCTCAGTAGAAATACCCTCATGATTTGTGCATAGGGATGCCTCGTGGGTGCTTGTGCATGATGACATTCATCAAAAATGAGCAAAGCAACTAGATCCATCCTAATGAAACAATGGCGCAAATTTTGCAACAATATCTGTGGTGTCATAACAAGCACCTGCGAAGATAAAGAAGCAAAGATATGTCAAGTACCTAAAACTTCTCAAACCAAAGCATACACTGCATTGAAAATTATATAATGAATTATTGAAATTCAACATGACGAGACGTAAATGATTGAAAAAGCCACGACTATGAGTTCTACAAATGACATAATTGCCAAGTCCATATGGTTTACATGAACCCAAGATTACCATCTACATAAGCAGAAACCACTTGGAAATGGTTGATCCAGAGTTAAAACACCCTCTTTAAGTTTTATTTACAATTGATATGAACTAAAGTTTTGTGTTAATAAAAATTTAAAAAATTATGACTTCTAGGACCAAAATTCCTGAACTTAACTAAATAATAAAATGGCAAGATTACTTATTGAAACAGGATCATAGGCAGATACTTTGGCGATCAGATCATTCAGATTCCAACAACCATTCTGAGAAACTCATTCTTTATTCAGATTCCAACAACTAAACAAGGAGTATATGCTAGCATAAAAGTGATAAGACTAAAAGGAGAGAGGTTTGCTTCTATTGTAAATACTAGTTAAGAGCTCTACCCCATCAACATTCATGGATTTCTTAAGCATGGCCCACCATCAAATCTGGACAAGCAACCACTGACTCAAAAATCTGAAGTCTGCATTAGCAAGCTGAAAGAGGTTGGAATCTTGATTTCAAAAATCTGAAGTCTTTGCTGTTCATGTGATCCAAATAATTTTGATTTCATCTAACCTATCATTGTCACTTAAAAGTTCTAAAATCGGAAGTACAACAGTTTGGAATCTTCCAGCACAAGACAGTTCAAGACAATACATTCAGCGCACACAGCTAAGATACGTCGAAAATAGGCACAGCTCGGCATCAAACCCCTATCAAAACTAAGATTTCAATCTTTGCTTGCACTTTCCAACAAATCAAGAAAATAATTTGCTAATCCATCCGCAATGGTTTCATTCCAATCTCTCACATTATGTGCCCTCTTCTATGAGGACTAACCTCACTACTGAAACTAAGATTTCAGTAGCTGCTGGATCCTTCAGTTTCTTAACTATTGGAGCTCCTTAATAGAATTGAAGATTTCAGATAACACATGGAATGATCAAATCAAATGGAAATCAGGTTCCGACAGAATTTTCATTAGTGCCTCCTATTAGAGTCCAAAATTAGTGGAGTTCTTTTCCTTATCTCTAAAGCTTTATGGAACGTCCATCACGTTGTATAAATACCTAGACCTAGTTCTAATTTACAGAATGCACTCTAGCCAACTACTAATTAAGAAAAATTATAAAAAAGTTGGTACTTGTAAGCAAGGTATGCAATTTATCGAGCGGTACGTACTGGTCCGTCAGCTGACCGGTACACGGACCGCCCGTTATCGGACGAAACGGAATATATATATTATATATTAATAAATATATTAATATATATATATATTTTTTTTATAAAAGACGACGTCGCGTCGCCTTTTTCGGCGACATCGCCTTTTATAAGAATATTTATATATAAATATATATAATCTTATATGTATATATATATATATATATATATATATATATATATACAAACGAGGCAACGTCACATCGCCTCGACGACGTCGCCTTGCTTGGGAGAAGGAAAAGGCGACACGACGTCGCCGAGACGACACGACGTTGCCTTTTATAAAAATATTATATACAAAAAGAAAAAAGAAAAAAAAAATATATATATATATATGTATATAAACGAGGCGACATCGCCCCGCGTGGGAGAAGGAAACTCGACGACATCATCTTTTATAAAAAAATATATATAAATATATATATAATCTTTTATATATAAATATATATTTATTAATTTATATATATATACCAAGCGATATACCGAATGGTATACCGCTGGGTATACAGTATCGTACCGTACCGAGTGAACGTTGAAACTCCAGTACGGTACGATATTTCAATCCTTGCTTATAAGTATATTTATTAATCTAAAAACAAAAAAATAATATCCTTCTAAACTACCCCTTTGCAGAACAAAACTGGGGATCTTGGCCAACATCAAATTTAATCATCACTCCAGCAAAGTGCTTTAGTTTGGAACCAAAGGAGTAGGATAAGGATAAAAGGAGTTGGAAGATTCTATAGCCAATATCAATATTGTCAAAGGTGATAAGTGCTTAAAGGCAACAAGGTTTCAAAATACCCGAGACACTAGACAATCGCCCTAGTGCAGCAAGGCGCTTATAAAATTATAAAAAAACAATTAAGATCAAATATAATTATTAAAAAATTTAACCAAACTCAGCTTATGTAGATAAATTATGTTATTGATGAGATGCTTCATTGAATCAGGCCATAGATGTTGGAGGTACAGAATAAGATTTACATGGTCTGGATGCTAATCATAGGTGCCCTGTAAGCCAATCATATGAGTAATGATACGTGTGACATGACACGCACTCTTTTTGCTTATTATATTATTTGATATTTTAACACTTTATATTACTTGTTGCATATATGCACATATATAATGTGATGTCCATGGATCTGTGCAATGATAATCGAATTGTGATGAGATCACGATAATGAGACCGATTCACCTTTAAACACAGATCCTAAAAAATCTTTATCATAGGTTACTCGAGAGGGACATCGAGATAACCGAACAAACTAATGCACTGTATACCCGTCCATATGATGGAGGCAGTTGGTCTCATAGCTGCTCATGTGAGGACACTAGGGCTACAGTGCAAGTGCTCATTAGAGAATGAGTTTACTGATTGATCCGCTCACGGAATGCTAGATGATTAATGATACATCATTGTCAGACAGCGATTCCGTTGTCCCAATGGTGTACCTGATCCTTAGACTTGAGACACCAAGGATATCCTGTATAAGTATTATACTCTTTGATACCGGACTTATAGGTTTGGAAGTTCCAGATCTAGCACAGTCGGTTATCGGGAGTCAAAGTCAACCTTACGAGGGCTATTGAGTGTCGATAGCGGACCATCCGCTCTCGATGTCATGATAGGAATATCACATGTGTTCTTGCTCAGACAAATCTCTGGCCAAGGTTATTAGGATTAAGCGAGAAAGAGTTCTCTAGGAGAATCCAATTAGAGCGAGACTCGAGTAGAAATCGTATGGGTCTGACATTACCATGCCCGGTATACGATCTCTGATATATTAGATGGATAAGGGACTATAGGTACACGATAACTGAAGACAGATATGTCTAAATGATTGGATTCCTTTATATCGTCTGAAGGCTACAGCATAGTGACCTAGGTCGTTCGTAATCGATGAGTCGAGTGAAATATTATGAAGATAATAATTCACTGAGCCAGAAGGAGTTCTGACAAGTATGACTCACGGTCAGCTCGATATTGGGCCTAGATGGTCACACATATATGGTAGGTGTTGCAACGAGCAAAGGTTCGGATATGAGATATCCGTCATAGCCCCTATTTTATTGGATATCCAATATGTCCCTGATTTATTGGATCCTATGGATGAGATCTAATAAGAAATTATTGGATAGAGATCCACTAATCTAAGAGACAGATAGTTGGAGGGAGATTCAATACCCAATAGGACAAGATCCATTAGGGTTAAGTTGACGGAGGACCTCTATAAATGGGAGGAAACCAAAGACCCATAGGCTAAAGGCTTCTTGGTTGCCACCTCCTATTCTCCTCTCCCATTCTCCTCAGATAGCAGGTGTGGAGATTTGGACAATGATTTGAGAAACGTCAACGCAGCCCTGCTATGTAGATCACCGCTAAAGAGGATAACGCTTAGACCTCTTTTATCCTCTCCTACAGATCTGTAGGGATTCAGGGATATACAATCTCTCTAGGTAACACAACTATTTCACACGTGATTTTTAGTTTCGCGGATTTTACGCATTAATCTTCGCACGATGATAAATATCTTTTTGGAAAATTTGAAATTTTTGTTTTCTATTCTTCCGCTACGTATGTGATGTCGCCCCTAGATTTACCTACACTGGAGAATTCAGAGATCTTTGTGATATTTATAAATAATACCAAAGTGTAGATGGACAAGGATTGCTTGTTAAATGTGGCTTTGTCTGCTGCAAGTTCAGCATTCAACATATCCTAGATGAAAATAATGGAAAAAATTATGTTGTCTTTGTGGCAAGAAGTAGAACAGGAAGTAGCAAAATAATGGCATCAATACATTATCACAAGATAATATAGACAAATTCAAGGCTCAGGTCACCTTGAATCAAGTACTTGGTGATGGGGGACAGACAGGCAATTGATAAAACAATGAAGAGGCAGTGAGCCGACAACAAAGAATTAGGGATTAAGACTAGCACAGCTGGCAACAACTCATAGGAGTAGGAGAAGCTTCTAAATTGAATATTTGTCAACAAATAGAACAAGGTACCAGTTAGGCATGGTTCGGGCATGATGCAAGTGTGGATTAGGCGGTCTAATACGGGGCCTAGGTTGTGTAAGCGGCAATCAAGGAAAGGCACCTCGCTTGGAGAGGTTTAAGGTGCTCAAGCCTCACCTCTCCTTGCCTAAGCACCTAGGCAAGCACCGGAGAGCCTTTTGACAACACTAGTTAGCATTTTGAAGAAAAAGTAGCAAATCCCCCAACATACGCGAAGTTCTAAAGATTCTCCAAGCTCTTCCAACAGGTAAGGCTTGTCTCCAATGATTAATATACCAGCGAGGAGACTAAACAACTTTGAGATCACCTGTCTCTTGCTTCCAATTCTAAATCGTTCAAATCTACTTTCTAGCTCACCTCTATATGCTCCTTTTTTCTTTATTCTCCAATGTACTTCTTCCCCTCATGATGTTACACATTTTTCATATCCATGGTGAAACAATTTAATAAGCTCATTTTGACCTTTGCATCAAAAAAATAAATAAATAATCACTCAAATTCTTTAAAAAAATGAAAAATTATTGACCAGATTTGGGCTATGAAAATTACTCAGATTCTTCTAGAAAAAATTGAAGATTTGTTGACCATATTCTGTCCATGGCATCCCATGCCACCAGCCATGCATTGCGTATAATCATGGTCAATAAAATGATTACTAGAACCCATAATGGTTTGGGCTGATAAAACTAAAGACAAGGACTTGGAATCTTTGGGCATAAGCATTTTGTAGCACTCATGTATAGCAACATGTGGTGAGGCTCAAATGTTGCCCTATACCAAAACTTAAAGAGGGGTTTAGGGCTTTGAAACTTATTGAAGCTTCCCATTATTTACAAATGAAATGGTCAGTCTTTGAAACCAGGCTAGTCCAGTTAAGTGCTTATCCTTGTTATTTATTTTAATGCCTCCTATCCAGGTATTAGAAAACCAAGCAGCTTGTGTTGCATGAAACATCCCAAGATTCTCATCCTTTCCTATGCCCATCTAAGTAATACAGCTATTGACATCATGCACTTGTATACTATAGGAACCAATTCAACAATTAACTTGGATGACTCATTGTTAACCCTAAGATTTGAAAATAAAGAGGAAAGACAATAATATGCAATGGAGAAGTACCACAATTTTGGTACCACAGGATATCTAAGGAATGCTGGCACTTGCACAATATTACTACAGCAAAACTGTAATCAGTACTGGGAATTGTTAACTAGGAAGCCACTTACTATCATCAATTTGTAAATATTGTGAGACAAAAACATCGAAGCTACTGCATGTCATCTCTTCAAATAGGCAGCCTGTTGTCACTATTGACAATTTAGATTTTGCACTATGTACTTTTGGTGCTCTCCTAGTATAACTATTCAAAAGAACTTATCTGCTGTAAACATAGTGATTTTAAAACCATGCACAGTTATTAAAGATCCAACTACAATTTTTATATATTGGCAAAGCATTATATAACCATATCCTCTGAAGCTTAGTGCCCTCAAATAGTATTCTTGACCAGAAAACCAAGCCTTTTGATCAAGAAAGATCAGAGGTAAATATTAAATTGAATATCAGGGGATAACTAACATACAAGCGAGTACAACAACTTTAGAAATACTAAATAGGAATTGTGATTATTGACAAGATATTTGAATTCAGAAACCAAGAAGAAACCTATAAAATGTGACAAGAACATGATTTTGTGCTTGCAAGATATAAAGTTACAAGATACAGAAGTGCAACGTAGAAAAGATAGGACCCTTACCTTGTAAGTGTGCAACATAACTCACCTCAGATTGGTCAATTTCCTTATTCCAGTCATCATGGTCCTTTAAATTCTTCTGACTTCCATAGTGACAACGAACTTTGAAATCTGTGGAGCTCTCTATGACCATTGCTTGCTATAGAAAATAATAAATATTATATTGATCAAAATTTAAGTTGTATTAATTTAAAAATTGTGCTAGAAAACTTAATGACTACAAGAAAACTCACAACTGAATGAACATCCTCATAATGACATTACAATGATATTACAATTACAATTTGATTTTATGGCAACCAAAAACTCAAATGACTACTATTGGAATAACATTGCCATGTTTACTCAGCCTAAAAGGCTTCAAGGGGAAAGTTCCTAACCAGAATATGGGATTTATTTACCTGTCTAACTTCTTCATCATCATGAATTAAAAACCTAATTAATTGATGTTATTGGCTTATTGGACACAGACATGTATCTAATATTCCCCATCTATGTATTTTAATTGTTTCTGTCTTGATAAACTATGTGGAGACAGATGGATGCACATGAAAATCAAAAAATAAAACGAAGGATTAAACAATTACCATATATTGATAATCATGTAAGTGTTCTCATTTTTGTGATTCTTCATTATGTGTGAAGTCTTAATTATAATCAAATGGTGATGGTAGCCCAGAGTTGTCTTCGGCCCATGTAATCAAACCACCAGTGTATAACCGAAACGTTTAAAACGAATGAATATCCAAATAAAGCAGAACACGAGCAAGGACAAAATAAAAATAAGAAAAAGAGGATATTATCTAATGTTAACTTATTATGTTCACTTTAATAAGAAATTCTGTCAAAAATGGACCAATGCTCTTACACTAGGATAATATATATTGAAATTTCAACAGTAAGATTACAACTCATTTCCGCTGCATACAGAACGCCAGGAAGTAAATATTTCAGCTCATTGTTAACCACCACAGTATCTTCAGTAAAATCTAAAGATTCTCAAATATCAAGGACGATAATGTCATGTCAAGGTCGTCTTTAACTCGAGTAAGACCCAGCAACAGCTGAAGCAGCAAGGGAGGCCATAGTCACATTCGCCCGCGTCCCCATTACTAAAAAGAGGAAAAAGATCAAGAAACTGCAACGAGCAGAAGCGCAAACCTGCCGGACGAGAGGGACGGTGGGAGCGAGGAAGATGCAGATGCTCTTGCTCGGCTTTCGGATGAGATGACCGAGCTCGTACATGAGCAGCACGGCGATGTGCGTCTTCCCACACCCCGTCCCGAGGTAAACGATGATGTTCTCTTCCACGGCCCTCTTGCAAAGATCCATTTGGTACCTAAGAATTCACCAAAGGACCAAATCCAAATCGGAAACCCTCAGGAGATGATCAGACTGAAAAAACAGAGACGATTAGGGGTGGAAAGCCTTACTTTCTTGCTATGGTTCTCGGATCTTTGACTCTATTTGGAGCTGTCGAGTTGCCATCCATGGCAATCGAGCCCCGATTCCGCAAAACTATCAAGCAGACAGTGCAGAGACTGAGAGCAGCGAGCGAGAGAGAGGGAGAGCGGCGAGCGAGAGGAGACGCACTCGCACGCACGGTCTCCGAGGGGTCAAATAAATAGTCTTGTTCGCGTCGCTTTTGCCCTTTCCTTGTCGGGACAGGGGAATAACTTCGGGCTTAAGTAGAGGACTATACGCCGGGAGACCGAAGGGAATATAGCGTATGGAGTAGTGACGCGATGATAGCGCATACATACTTAGGCGGTTAATCTCGGATCTACCGTCCATTGCTGCACATGTGCAGAAAATTCTTATGAACGGGCGAGATGAATTTGATCAAGTTCCGCATAATGATTTATATGCGGTCGTATAGAGCCACGTACTCGCCCGGTACGACGTCCCTCGAGTGCAGGTGAGCCGACGTGACGAAATGGAATCGGATACGGGAAACGAACACGGGGAAGTTGGCGTCAGCGGACGTGATGAAATGGAATCGGATCCGGGAAACGCACACGGGGAGGTTGGCGTCATAAATAAGCCTTTCGAAATTTGAATTGTAATTTTATTGGAGGAAGCAAAAAATTTGTAGTGGAATTGACCAAAGAGTGATTACTCTCATAGAGATACTTTTAGATTCACCTACAAAAAGTAAAATCGTCTGAGAACTCACTGATTTTAAATTGTCCCGACTCCTCGATTATAAACTTCGATAAGATCATATTTAATCTCATATAAGTTGAATAATTGAAGAATCAATCTCCGATTAAAAAGACCAAAGCCAAGTCATAGGGATGGTATTGCAGCAAAATTTGTATTGATATTCTAGATTGGATATGAAATATGTTTAGGATGAATTTGTGTAGGAAGGTAGGTATACTAAACTTTACCATCCTCTCGCTCTCCTCGGGCATGAATGCAAGAAATTTTAATGCTCTTTGCTTCCATGAATGCGAGAGATTTTTTGGGTTGTTTTGGGTTCCGATGGTTTTGTTCGTCTGCTTCCAAAACAAAAGCCCAGCCTCTTCCAACCGGTTTCCCCCAGACAGTTCACAGCCACGAAAGCACCTTTTCCTGCGAATATTCTTGTTCGCTTCGGTCCACCGTCGGACGAGAGGCGTCACGACACGTAACCGTGTGGGTGGGAAGGAAACGTGGGGCGCGCACGAAGGCGCACTGAGTGACAATGGGACCGTCGAGAACTGTTCTTCGTGCAATCCGCGCAGACGTTACGATCAGATACATATTCATACATACACATTCACACGAACTTGACACAGAGAATGAATCGATGAATGGAAGAGAAAGGGGGATCGGAAGCGCTCACGAAGCAACCGGGCGCGGCGGGGAGGGCGGTAGGCGGGACGAGAAGTTCCGGTACCGGTACGCATCCCCGCCGCCGGGGTGGCGGTCGTCGTCGTCGTCGTCGGGCCCCTCGTCGAAGTTGAGGGCGTAGCTGAGGGGGTCGTACCCGAAGTCGCCGGATCCGCGGCGGGCGTGGTGGTGGGGGTGACGGGGCGCGATCCGCGCCACTAAGTTCCGGCACCGACCCCCGACCTCCTGCAGCTCCTGCCCCCTGGACCGCAGCCAGATCGTCGAGGACCGGATCACCGACGCTGGCCGCTCGTCCACCTCGTCATCGCCGGCGGAGCCGCCGAAGCAGCAGGAGGAGCAGAGCGAGGAGCGCAGACGCTGAATGAAGGAGGGTGGCTCAGAGAGGGGAGAGGAATCGTGGAATCGGTTGTCCGATTGCATCGCGAACGACACCGGATAAGGGTTAGGGTTTCGGTGGCTGGAGTCGAAGGACGCGAGGGAGAGAATCGGGCTTTGGTGGTTGCGAGTGTAGCGGCGTGTATATAGATAAGTCGTACAGAGTTGGCGGATAAGGATAAACGCGGACTTGACGGAGTGATGGGAACGAAACGGCGACGTGTTCGCCCAGGTTCCGCGTCAAGTGAGCTGTTGAGGGTGACTTGAGCATTTCAAATCAACTCGTTTTAATTAGACGATGGTGATGGTGATGGTGATGATATGTCGCGGAGGATGTTAAGCTTAAATTAAAACATCTTTTTCTTCATTAAATAGTATATCGTGCTCACGTCGGCAAGAGAACGAGATGTCTGCGCCCACCAGCGGCACGCCGAAGGTTCCTTCTCAGACAGCTGAGCTGTGTCATCGCGCACAAGACAACTAAGACGGAGGGAGGGAGGGAGGGAGGGAGGGAGGGAGGCGGAGACGGTGTTTGGTCCTCGTCCTTTGTTCTACGACAAAACCGGGTCAGATGTCCGTAAGCAATTGCTTGGGATATGGTGGGTCGGTGATGCCGAAGACGAAGCTTCCCCGATGATGACGGGGCTCATCACATCTCAGCCCACCAAATCCAAGCTTCCATGTAGCCCATGTCACGATTCGTGAATCGACAATTGCGGAATTGACAGTTTTCGATTTTCTAAAATTAGGAAGAGGTAGTTAATTTTTATTTTTAAATTAAAATTTTTAAAAATATAACAAATTATAAAATATTTTTTAATAATTAAAATTAATGAATCAGACCGGATACCACCGATTTCGGTTCTTGAATCGTCAATACAATTTTGACTTCTCAAATCTAAAAACCAAAATAGAAATGTCCATGGTCAACTTTAATTTAGTTTAAAATCAATGTACTGATTAATTCTAGCTCTAGTTTAATTCGATTCTGATTAATCATCGAGAAATCACGTACCAAACTCACCGTGTCGAGTCAATAAGTATTTGACTCGTATCACACATGAATTCTAATTCATTACTTTGATAGTGAGTCGGGTTCTAGAACTCTTTACTTGTTGACCAATTAGTAATATCATTTAAATGTTCTCACCCCTCTTCTTAACCTTCAATAAATTTTTTATTATTGGTTATGTATTATATGTATCTTTTTATCCCTATTAAAATCATCCGAATGGGGTCGGGTTGGGTCTGGTTGACATTTGTTGATCCGTTAATACATCTTGAAGGGTTGCAACATAAGTTTATTATGTGTTAGGGTTGACAAGTACTTATGGATTCATTAATTAAAAATAAATTATCTCGAGGATTTCAAGTTAATAAATACTTATTAAACGAAGAATTTTTAAAACAATTATGAATTAATTGCTCTGTAAAAATACATTATGTATTTTAAAATTTTGGATTGAATGAAAAAAAATTATGTATGATTTTCCTCTTATAGATATGAAGAAATGAAGAGAAAATTCTTTAGGATTTCACGAGAGAGTATAAATGATGCTCTATGCTTGAGTTTTATTTTTTTATAATTTGATTTTTTACCATGAATATTGATAAGATATGTGGAACCACATAAATCATATATTTATGTTTTATCATTATGTATTCTTGTTGATTATCTTAATTGTTCTTTCACTCTCATATGCCTCTTCTTGCCCACACTAATCCAACCACCACAGAGCCAATACAATCGAAGTCTTTGCCAAACTAATCCAAAGTCTTTGTTTGGTTGAACCACAATGGAGCTAATTGAACCCCATTGCCAACAAGACCTGTCCAACTACAAACCTGTGTGTTCAATGGATTAGTTTAACACTGAGATATTGTAATTGGGAACCACATGATGGTAGAAGGAAAGAAGGAAGGAGACAAGTATGGACTTATTGGCTGAACCGCTGGAATCACCATCTCTCAGCACAGAGGAGATCTGTGAGGAACACCTTTTCTCCTGCTCATGTTTCTGCTGGTGTGCACATCAGAGGCAGCCGCGGGTGATGTTGCAGAGATGCAAGGCCAGCTAGCCTTCCTGTTCATGATCTGGAAGCGAGTGCATGGCAAGCTCAACCTCTCAGAGTCTGATGACGCTGTGTGCTCATCACCTTCCACGATGGTGGAGTGAGTGGTCTCTTCATCCACATCATGAGGAATGATGTAGTCTGGGCTCAGCTGAAGAGTCTTGCATCTTCTCAGGTAAGGAGACAGATCCTGCTTCTGCCTCAGCACATACTCCACCTAGAGAATCACCACACTGAAATGGATGAGCTTTGGCTAGAACACAGTATGAGATGAAGAAAATAGTATGGATTAGAAGAAGGCTGTGTTCATTCATTTACCTTACAACCCAGAGAACAATGAATGAAGGGTTCCTGAAGGCTCCTATCACATGAAGTGCAGATGTTCCCTGACCCTTTGAACTGCCTGCTCTGAGGCCTCTTCTTCAGAAACACCACCTTGGAGCTGTTGATCGTATACGACTGCAGAAGACTCACACGCTGAGTTTTGCTGATGCTAAGGAATCAAGCGGATCGGTGCATGTGGAGCACACCAACCTGAACACTGGAGCAGTCGATGAGCTTCTCCAGGTCTTCCAGCCGCACCACGTCGTGGTACACGTACCGCCGCACCTGCAGCAGCCGGTGGCGGCGGTGCGACGACACGCAGTGCGGGCAGATGCTGGTGCAGCAGTCGAGGCAGCAGATGTTCTTCTCGTTCTTCTTGGCGTTCTCGTGGAGGCAGCAGCCGACGAAGAACTTCTGGGCGTCAAGCGCTTCCAACCACGCCGGCTTCCGTATCGCCTGTCTACGGAGAAGAGGAACGAGTGAGCCCTGTCGCATCTACGGAATCCAAACTAAAGCAAAAGGGCCGAGAAGCTTGCCATGATCACACCGACATGAAGGTTGATGCAGAAGCGGCAGCGTCACCAACATGAACTGCAGGACGAGGACGGAGGTCATCAATGGACACGATCAGGCGATGGCCGAGAGCATATATACTACATTTCTATCAAAAGCGAGGGGATCGGTATGATGAGGAGGAAAAGAAAGAGGTGAACGTGGGTGCTGTTCTTAGTGTTTCCCATCCATCTTCTCCCCGTCCTTTAACTAAGCTCGAGCTCTCCTTGCCCGAGGAGCTTTGATTCCTTCTTTGCAGCCATATGTGGGAAGAGAGAGAGAGAGAGAGAGAAAGGCTTTTCTTGGGCCACATGAGGCCATGCATGGCCGAGGAGTACGGACATGTGTTTGCTCCTCTTGATGCGTGTAATATTGCTGTTCTTTCTCTTTATAACTGCTTTATTAGATATAAGTTAAACAATGGTGTTTGGGGGGATATAATAGAGTCTAATCTTAGCAAATTACATAAATTATTTGTTTCTTAATTTCCGAAATTACAAGATATGTTTTATGTTTTTATAAAAAAATTATATAATTATACCAAAAACAATTCACATAAAAATTTGAAAACATATGAACCATAAATTGAAACACCTAAATATTTACCGATCAAATCAATGTTGGATTGTATGGTTTACTATCAATGTATCTCAGCATCCATCTGATTAATCACACTGCATCGGTATGGCCAAATCGGAGTGGCTGTGTCTCAATTGACCTCGAACGTATCCGAGAAAAATCCGGTGACACCAACACCCAACAGTTGCAATCTTTGAGCTTATCTTTTCAAGGATGTGTTGTGCCTCGAAACAAATAAAAAAGAAATAAAAGGGGGGGAAAAAATAGGAAGACGAAGGAGCTCTTTAAGAAGAGGACGCCATAAACAAATCCTCGGTGACTCGCACCACCACGTGGTGGATCTTGACCGGTCAAACCACCCCCCTTTACGACCGAGGCCAAAAAGAAAAGATCGAGTGGTGGTGGCTGGTGACTGGCGACTGCCACCCACGTGCGGGGGCGGCGTCACCCGTGTGCACGCATTCGTCCCCCTTTTCTTTCTTAAGGAACACGAAGCACGCGCAGGTGACGAGTATCTCGCAGGTGCGACGGGCAGCATTGGATGCTCCGCACGTGAGTAGATGCTTAGCCTCGACGCATGTGAGATTGGGTCACGTGGAGATCGTACCAACTTCCACAAGCGCGTTGAGCATTTCAAGTGTCCCGTGTCTGCTTATCCATACTTGCTCTATAGCATATTTGCTCCTTCAAATTTTAATTTTACATTACATATAAATCTTAAAATATTTAATATTTCATGTACATCAACTCCTATTACCATCCCTCTCTAATAAATCATTGTTTTTTAAAAAAATTAGAATTGAAAATAGTTTTATTACTTTCACCAATTATTTGACCCATTATGTTCTGATAATTTTGAAAGAGATGTTAATATAAATGTGAATTTCAACATCATTATTTTATATAGATTAACTATAGTAATATATATAACTTCAATTTAAAGGGGTAAATATAAAATTATATATATGTATTTATATTTATATATTTATATCTCAAGCTTTAAGCGGGATAAAATACTTATAATAGGATTTTAAAACATGTATGAACAAAATAACAGATATTGAAGATTAAGTTTTGAGATGGATTCTGATACCTGAGCAGTCAATCAAATTTGGATAGGATAAGATTTGCTACCATTTCAAGCGGAGCTTTCTGAGGGTTGGCACTGACAACATGTTACATTAGCTATCATGAACGAAGAAGCTACCTGAAAGATGAATAAGATTGTAACATAAGCCATCTTCACTTGGTTTAGGACATAACTAGGAATTAAAATTTGTAAGAATATTTATTGTGCTTCGTTGGGTAAAAGGAAACACAACAATAAAAGAATAGTCGACAAAAGCTCGATTTAGGAGCATGCCTCAAGCTATCTTCAATTTGCAAGGCTACCATATGATGTTTATAATTGTAGAGTTAACATAAAATATCCAATTTTTGCTGAGGTACACACAATACCCATGATATTTATTTCCTTGATATATTACTGAGAAGTTCTGAATCCTAATATATTTCAACCAATCCAAGGAAGGATCAATAAAACACTTAAGTGAAATAATAATAACTATAATAACCATAGGATTCTACTTTGCATGATCAAACCAGCAGTTCATTTGCTTCCTTCTCAGCATGCATAAAGAGATCATATTATTAGCAGCAGAACAACGGACTTAATTGATAGGCTTGTACTAATTTGTGAAGACATAAGATCTGGTGATCAACTTTCAGTTGACCACAATTTCCTTACGTGCTTCGAATCTATTTGTTAGCAAACTCATCAACTTGATCAGACAATTCAAGTTAAGTGTATCTTTTTAATTGTATGTAAAAGTCTCACGTTTGCAAAAAGATGAAAAGGGAAAGAAATCCACAAGCATGTTACGTACCATGTTTGTGCCTGTGTCAATTGCAGTTGATGGCGCGCTACATTGCCCTTTCTTGTTGAAGCATCCTGTCATGTTGAATGTTGAAGTTAGAATGGCCCTTAAGTGAGTTAACCACATTCTAAACTGACAATTGGTCCTTAAATCTTGTGGGATGATTGGAAATTTCATGGGCATCAGGACTTACGGATGCTTCAATGGCAATGGGCACTGTCCTGTGACAGTATACTTGCAAGTAGAAATTTCTTTGATTAAACTAACTATAACACAAGGTTCAGAGCATACTAGACCTGCAAGCAAATAAGCAAGAACATATTAGAAAAAGTCAAAGGAACTACATATCATCAGCGGCATCCTGACTAATTATCAAATCAGAAATGGTTCCATTTGTATACTGATTAGCGTGACGTGATACCTGCTAAGAAGTAATCAGCTACTTACAGTTGTCCTTTCAGATGTTTTGAGTAATTCGTTAAGTCAAATTCTATGACATTGATGTTGTTTATGGCTATGAAGAAAACCTTACGTTTTGTGAGGAATCTTAAGATTGAGGGTCTTTATGTGTACAAATATCAGACTGGTTCTGGTTCAAAGGAGCAGTGGCATCAGTGTCAAGCATGCACGAAAACAAATTGTTGAAGCACAACTTTTTCCTGGCCATCTTCCTGTACAAGAACAATCCCATCACTTAGAACTCCAAAATGGAATTTACTTCAGCAACGAAAATGGATATTTCTTGTATAAGAGGAAAAACCTATGACCTTCAGCAATATAGTTTTAGAAACCATACTAAAGAGAAAGCAGATGATGCAGTGTTACCATGAAAAAAACTATGATCAATGGACAATGAGAAGTTAAAAGTCATTAAGTATTCATTGTCAGCAGAATTAAGGTGCAGATTTAAAACTTTTGGCAGATTTTAATGGTACAAACTCAGTGAAACAGAGTCATCAGAATTAAGATTCACTCCACTGATCGTGATCCATGCCACTATAACAGCCTATAACTAAAAATTAGAACTTTCTGAAGTCTCTTATTCATGAACCCATATATCTTGATTCCTATTAGACAGATTCTTGAGATTTGCCACCTCAATGTTTGGGATTTGATTTGATGATGAATCAACATCTCTGCTGCTCATTGATGATCATTTTCTGAGGATTTTTGGCTGCAAACCACAAATATATCCTTCCACCACCATCTGTTCCTTCTTGTTCTCCAATAGGCCATTTTGAACCAGTTTTCTCCATGCAACCACGACTGACGGCATCCCTTGTCAGGACAGTTGAGGGATAGAAACTGCCTCCTCATTGTTGATGGAAAGCAAGGAAATATATGTCCAAACTCAAGAATTGCTGGTTATCAGCCAATGTTAGCACCCGTGCGATCTTCAGCCCGGTCATTATCCAAAAGGCATCAACAGCAGCATAACAACCATTCATGGCAGACTCTATTAGTGCCAAAGTCCACATATCTAAGGTTGCATACTAATATGGCATATTTCAGCACCATCCACGTGACAGCGGTCGGCGGCCACGACAATGCCAACAAAAGAGCTCCAGGCTGGCACGACGCGACACTTCAAACCCGAACGGGGCAACCACTTGCCCTCGTACTGTTCGGTGCTGCATACCACAGAGTCGTTTCGGAAAGCTCGGAACGACGCCACACAACGCGGGTCCGTACAGGTCGGTCGACGCTCGTTCACAAGGTACGAGCCAGCTGCTCGAGGAGTCAACAACCATTAAAGGACCATGTACGACCGACCCTCGTTCGCAGGTATAAAAGCCAACCCCTTGACCAACGCCAGGAGAGAATTTTTAAAGCATTCAACTCCCTTTTACTCCACTCAACACTAGCTTAAACTTCAGAGGGGTCGAGTCGGGAAAATCCCCCTTCCGACTTCGGCCTGTGTGCAGGAGCTTGGCAACAAAGAAGCAGGCAACCTGCCAAGGGAGAAGGTGACCCGGGGAGACTAGGCTCGAACCCAACCCGACCCGACACTCACTTCCACCATTCGAGCATCCGCGTGGGCAACTTTGCGCATCCGAGATTGGACCAAGCCGTGCTAACACCTTAGCCACGACATAAAGGTTTCCCAACATTTTGGCGCTAGAAGGAGGGCCTGATGTCGCAAGAATGCCCCCAACCAAGCAACCCAAGTGAGCGCCCCGGATAAGAGCCACCCGCGACTCACCCGACCTTCGAGTTTGGAGGGCAGTCCCACTTCCTCCGAGCCTAGAAGGGAATACCTCGATCGCGACCCCGAGTTGCTATTGGCAGCTGTTTAATGATCTCGGGTTGTCGCCCCCCGGGACCACCATGGGACAGCCTACCGTCTCAGCCGAGGCGTTCCTTAGCCTCACACACCAAGTCCAAGTGCTAGCAGGGATGATGTAGACTATCATCCCACTCATCCCCTAGCTTGCCCAGCAGTCGGCATTACCCCAACCGTCGCCACCACAGGACTAACCAACCCCCATCACCGCGCCACAAGAACTTTCTTCAGTCCCCTAGCAACCCAGAGCGATAGATGTTAATCCGTCACCCGAGGAGCCATCGGGAAACCCAAGGCCGACACAAGAGCACAGCGCCCCAAGTCTCCGACGCACCTCCGAGCCCGACACCTTATCATCTAACTCGGTGGACTCTCTCCAGGCTCAATTACGCTCGGTCAATCGACGCCTGGACGAGGTCCAAAGGGAGTTCCACAAGTCCAAAGAAGAGCTCGAGGAGGTTTCCTCGGTAGGGTCCCCCTTCGTGCAGGAAATCCAAGACAAATCAATACCACTGAGCTTCCGCCTCCCTACGCTCGAGGCTTACGATGACGACTCCGATCCGGCAGAGCACGTCGCCACCTTTCGAGCTCAAATAGCCTTATATGGCACTTCCGACACCCTAATGTGTCGGGCGTTCCCTGCCACTCTCCAAGGTTCGGTTCGGATGTGGTATAACCAACTTAGGCTAGCCTCAATCTCATCTTTTGACCAGCTTGCAAGGGAATTCAAGCTCAATTTCCTGGCCAGTACAAGGCCAAAACCTTATGCAGCCATGCTCCTCAATCTAAGTCAGAAGGACGACGAACCCTTTCTCATTTCATCGCTCACTTCGTCGCCGAGATCCGAGGAGTCCCCAATGCCCACCCCTCACTAATCATGCAAGCATTCTTGATGGGCCTATGACCGTCCAGATTCTTCTGATCATTGGTTGAGCGACTAGCAACAACCGTCCACGAGATGCTTCAACGAGCAAATCAGTACGTTGCTGCTGAGGTGCTAGTGGCGAGAAAGCGCGAGGAGCACAAGAGGCCTCACACAGAGCAATCTCGAGGGCAACCCTCGAGCCCACCAAGAAGAAGACTCGACCGACCCAAGTCATTGCTCCCGAGGCCACCTCTCCCACCCTTGAGTTTGTCCAGAACGGAGATCTTTCTCCATATCAAAGAAAAGGGGCTCCTAAGAGCGCCCAACCCGGTGAAGACTCCATGCGATTTCAGACATCGCTCCAAGTATTGTCGATTCCATCGCGACTACGGTCATGACACCGAGGAGTGTCACAACCTAAAGAACCAGATCGAGGAGTTCATTTGTAGGGGGCATCTCAGACGCTACCTTAAGAAGTCGTGAGAATCCTCCCTGCACCCCTGTGGCCCGGTAGAAAAACATATTGATGTCATCATCAACGGTTTGGCTTCCGGAGGAGACAACGCGTCGGGACGAAAAGCCTATGCCCGAGCAATCGTGGACAAGCCCGAGATCACCTTCCTAGTGAGGGACGCCGAGTACCCTGACCATGATGACGCCCTGGTGATCTCAATCAAGATAGCCAACACTCAGGTCAAAAGAATAATGGTAGACACCAAGAGCTCGGCCGACGTCTTATACCTCGATGCCTTCCAGAAGCTCGGCTTAACCAAAAAAGACCTCGTTCCTATGGCCTCGGCTCTCATCGGGTTCACCGAGGATTCCATCTCACCCCTTGGCACTACCACCTTACCAGTCACCATCGGGGAAGAGCCGAAGTCTAAGACCGTGATGGTTACCTTCATGGTGGTCGAACTCCCTTCGGCTTACAACGTCATCCTAGGTCGCCTGACCCTCAATAAGAGATGTCATCTCCACCAACCACCGGGCAATAAAGTTTCCAACCCGCGTCGGGATCAGGGAGGTAAGGAGTAATCCTCGGGAATCAAAGCAATGCTATCCGGCAACTGCCACGCTGCCTAAGAAGCTAAAATCCGAGCCGCCCGTGTCCGACCCTCAAAACGCCAAGCTGCCACTTCGTCCTGAGCCAACTGAGCAAATACTAGAGGAACACCTCGACAAAAGCCGACCAGACAAGGTCGTGAAGGTCGAATCGGAGCTCCCGGAAAAGGAACGAGTCCAACTCATCAACTTTCTTACAAAAAACGCCAACATCTACGCTTGGTCGCCAAGAGACATGCCAGGAATTGATCCAAAGGTCGCACAACACCACCTGAATATCTTCCCCCAAGCACGACCGATGAAGCAAAGACCTCAAAAGTTTGCTCCCGACCGGCAAAAAGCGATCAGCGACGAGGTGGATCGTCTGTTCGAGGCAAGGTTCATAGCCAAGGCAAATTATCCTCAATGGTTATCTAATGTAGTCCTCGTTAAAAAATATAATGGAAGCTGGAGGATGTGCGTTGACTACATCGACCTTAACCGAGCATGCCCGAAGGATTGCTACCCACTCCTGAGAATCGACCAGTTGGTCGACGCAATCTTGGGACATGAGCTCCTCACGTTCATAGATGCTTTCTATAGATACAACAAAATAAAAATGGCTCCCGAAGATCGAGAGCATACCGCCTTCATCACAGACCAAGGAGTCTACTATTACAAGGTCATGCCCTTTGGACCGAAGAATGCTGGAGCGACGTACCAGAGAATAGTTAACAAGATGTTTAAGCAGCAGATTAGGAGGAACATGGAGGTATACGTCGACAACATGATCGTAAAAAGCAAGCTCGCCGATGCCCATCTAGCAGACCTGGCTAGATGGAACGAGTCAAAATCGTGCAATGATTTCGAGAGTTGAAGGGCCCGTGCGGCCTTCTCATTCACCGGGGATGGCCCACCCGATGACGAGTTGCCCTTCCCAGAGCCGCTAGAGGTCGCACCGACCGATCGGATGAAGAAGAGGAAGAGGACATCCTAACCGACTTGAACAGCTAAACAACTAAGGAGGGAAATGACCGAGGACGAGGAAAACAATTAAGGAGAAAGCGCAAAGCAAATGAGTAAAATGAAGCCAACGAGGGGGTTTATAAAGAAAACTCCATCACCCAAAGCAACCCTTCACCTACCAAGAAGAGGAAGACAGCTCACCTAGTCATAATGGCTCGTGAGAAGAAGTGCCCAAACCCAAACTCCTAAGCAGGGTGGTGGGAAGATAAGCAAAAAGCTCAAAAAATCCTGCCCAAAAAGTTTGAAATCCGATCAAAACCAAAGATCTCGTCGAAATCACCCAAAATCGAAAAGGCCACTCACAGTCAATCCTCCCGCCCTAACCAAAACTGCCGCCAAGGCCAAAGGAAAATCTATCGCTAACCTCAAAAAGTCAAAATTTAAAAACTTCCCACTCAAAGATGTCATATAGAAATCAGCCTGCCAACCCCCTGCTCGATTCAATCATTGTCCGAGCAGTTGTTCGGCCAAACATGGGCCCGAGTAGTGTTGCTCAGTCAAGCCAGTGCCCGAGCTACGTTGCTCGGCTAGGCTAGTCCCCAGTGCCCGAGCGGTGTTGCTCGACCAGTCATATATAGTCAGTCGTTGGTCAGTTCAATCATTGTTCGAGCAGTTGCTCGGCCAAACATGGGCCCAAGTAGTGTTGCTCGACCAAGCCAGAGCCCGAGCTACGTTGCTCAGCTAGGCCAATCCCCAATGCCCGAGCGGTGTTGCTCGGCCAATCATGTACAGCCAATCGTTGCTCGGTTCAATCATTGTCCAGGCAGTTACTGGGTCAAGCCAATGCTCGAGCAACGTTGCTCGATTAGGCCAGTCCCCAATGCCCGAGCGGTGTTGCTCGACCAATCATGTACAGTCAATCATTGCTCGGTTCAATCGTTATCCGAGCAACTGCTCGACCAAACATGGGCCCGAGTAGTGTTGCTCGGCCAAGCCAGTGGCCGAGCTACGTTGCTCGACTAGGCCAGTCCCC